AAAATAAAATTTAAAAAAAAAAACAAACTCTCTCTCTCATCTTTTATTACTTTGGTTAATAATTTTTATTTTAATAATTGAACCTAATTCAAAATTTCAATTTTGATTACTAAAAATTTGATTTTTTTTTAATGTGATTCATTTAATTAACAAATTTATTTTAATTTTTTCAAAAAAAGGTTTTTTTATTATTAATCAAACTAAAATATTTCAATTAATTAAAATTTTAATTGAATTAATTAAAAAAATTTTATTTTAAATATTTGAGTAATTTGGAATTAAATGAAATATGAATGATAAAAAAATACTAAAAAATTATGTATAGAGTTTCGATTCTTATTTTTTAATTTTATAGTAATTTACTTAACTAATATTAATAAAAATTTAATATTTTAACTATCACATTTTTAAAAAAGGTATTATAAATATTATAAAAAATTTTAATACATTTATAATAATTTTTTTTAGAATATTTTTATTTATATAATATTATAAATTAGGTTCTAATTCGCATACATAAAAGAATTTCCCCTAAAAAAAAATTGTTGAAGACATCAAGGAGCAATGATTAACTGGGAAAACACTGGTAGGCTGTTGGCAGTTGACCTCCTGTGATTCTTTGCAGCGTTAGGTTCTCATTGGCATTACAAGAAGGCTAGCACATGATCACTCAAAACACTTCACTTATTTCATACATAAACACTGGCCTGAGGCCAACAACATAGATATAGTAATTGAAAAACACCATTGTTTCTTGTTCTTACCTTATTCTAAGCACACATCAAAGAAGCAAAAAGAGATAAGAATCTTCAGAACATGTTTTGTGAATTGTGATCATTTGCCCTTGTAGAGAGTTTCCTCTAGCTCAACAGAAGGAAGCAAAGCTGAGGAAGCAAAAATGCCAAAGGATCGACGAAGTTGCCCTACATGCCATTGAGGAGCACTTATTGATTCAGCTTCAAACAACGTAGTTCTTCATTGCTCCCACAGAAGAGAAAGTTCCACATCACCACAACCATCCCACCACCACCACCTCCACCCGCGGTGGAGGAGGCTGCGGCAGGGCTGGATGGTGGTGTACTACGAAGAGGGTTTGAGATTGAAGCCTCTCTAGGTACTTATAGCTCTTTTTTTTTCTCTTTTTTTTTCTAAAAAAAAAAGGTTCTTATTTCTTTTATTTTCATAGTCAGGAGGACAATAAAGGATGGGGTGACTTAATTAAGAGCATTTGTGGGCACCTTTTTTTTTTTTTTTTAAGTGGGCAGAAATTGGAGGTTGCTAGGTTTAGCATCTTCCAAAGGATATGCCATTGCATTTGCATTATACACATCATGACAGACAACTCCTCTTTTTCAAAATCTCTCAAGATTTTATATGCTCATCATCTGTCTCTGTCCTTCCTCCTTGAAACCCCCTGTACCAAGAACAGGATCATTACATAATTTGCCAAGTGCAGACTTTTCTCTGAGAAGTAGACACACTGCTGAATCTTGGTCACTTCCTTTGGATCGTGTTTTGATCAAATAAGATAGACACGCTTTGTCAATCATTATGGTGTACAATTTCCACAAGACTGTTCTTAGCTAGTGTTATTTTGCAGGAAAGCATTATCTCAGGAAAAAAGGTAATCTTTTATATTTAATACGAGGTACGCTTTTTCTTTATGTTCTTTAGCATTTTCTAGTCTGAGTGAGATTTCATGTTCTGGGTGACACCAGCAGGATCAATTTTTGTTCTCTGAGACAGGAAAAACTTGATATGGGTAATGCCTTTTTAATTAGCCGAGTCATGTAGCAAATGTTAAAGGCTATTTAAGTTCCTTTTTTTTAAAACAAAAAAAATTAATTTGTTAATATGATGATGTACTTGGGATGCTGAAGCTTCAATTCATCCCCTATGTTTGTTTTAAGGGATTGAATCCAAAGCTTCTATAAGAAAAAGGAACTTCCTGCGGTTGAAAACATATTTACCTATTCTGGAAACCTTGAATAACAGAAAAGAATATTATTTGATGCCGAAGAATATTATGTGTAGTGCAGCTAGCTCCTGCTTTTCTCTAAATCCATTACCTGTCCTCCAAGTTCCTACCACCAATGCCTCATTATTGATTATTTGCTAAAGTTAATCATAGTTAAGCCATGCTTAAGTTAAGTGTTAACAGGAAGAATGGACTACTACACATGAAGGGAAAAGGGAAAAGGGCTTATAATGTGTAAGCAAATTCAAAATACTGTACTAGACAGAGGAAATTTATGTTGCATCAGGCATCAGCCAATCCTTAGTGTCACCTTACTTATAAGCTCAGAACAGCATAATATTGCTTGTTTTTCTCCTTAGGAAACATATTTTTTTCTTGAAAATGAATGCAAATTTGAACATTCTAAGAAGTTAGTGGAAATGAGTTACTTTATTTAAGTTGTTGAAATGGGGCCTAATTTGAAGGGGAGGAGAACCATCTGACATTCTTGTTTCCTTTAAGCTTCATGACGAGTTCTTCACGCTGACATTCTACCTCTGCATATTTGAGGCTCATTTCAAGATAACGTTGTTGGATGTCTCTTAATTCTGCCTCTAGTGATGGCATAGATGCAGTCTCTGGTTCCTTCCTCTGATTCTGTTTTTCTGCCTTTATAAACTTCATTTCTTCTTCAACAGTTTGAGTTCTTCTAATAAGCTTATTTTTCTCCTCCTCAAGTTGCTGTATCTTATTTTGCAAGTGTCGATTTGCCTTCTTCATCTGGCCAAGCTCAATCTTAACCTCAGCATGCTTCAGAAATAATGCCTCTTTAGCCATTAGATTAGCCTCCATCTCCAGAAGCTTTTCTTCTAAGGCTTCTTTACTGTGTTTATGGTCCTTTAATTCAGATATTGCCTTTTCTGAGGCAGAAATCTGCTCCAAGAAGAAAGTTCTCTCTGCCTTCAAATCTTCAAGTTCTCTGGATATTAGATGCAGAGAAGCTTCCAGTTCCTCTTTGTTAGAATTGGCTGCATTGAGCTCATCCCTGAGAGCCAAAACTTCATCTCGGAGAAGTTCTACCTTTAGCAGCTGAACATTCACATTACTAGATTCTTCGGTTAGTTTTTTACGTTCATATTCAGAGACTGTAAGCTCTAGTTCAAGACCATTCAAGATGGTTTTAAGTTTTTCTTCACTTGACTTGTAATTCTCCAACAACTTCAAAACTCTTGCATGGTTAGCCATCAGCGCTTCCTGGGTTTCTCTGGAGGCTGAAAGCTCACCCATCAGGCCTTTCAGTTTTCCTTCAGATTCTACTTGCATATTCTTGAACTCAAGATCAGTCCATTTCAGTTTAGATTCAGCTGCTTGAAGATCAGACTCCAGTTTAACTTTATCAGCATGTAAAATGGATATTTCATGCTCAGCATCACAGGCTATTCTCTCCTTTTCATGCCACAATTGAGTGAGTTGCTTGGTCAGGCTTTCTAATTCTTGTTGAAGATTCTCCACTTCATCTGTCTTCTTCAAATGCATCTGATTCCAGGAGCTTTCTTCCATCTTAAGTTTCTCCTCAAGTTTCCTGTTTTTATCAAGAATTGCATCTAATTCCAAAGTTAGATTGTTCTCCTTGGAAGAAAAATCTTCCAGCACCAAATAAAGTCTTTCTTCTAAAACCTCAACTTTTTTGGAGCAATCAGCTACTCTTCCAGTTGACTGCATTAGTTCGGTCTCCAAGGCAGCACATTTCTCATTCAATGCCATATTTTGCTTCCTCAACCCTTCATTTGACCTCTTAAGAGAATTGCATTCTTCAGTGAGAGACTCAGCAAAGGCATGCAACTTAGAATTTTCTGTTCTCAGATATTCACACTGATCTCGAGTTTCTAACAACTGGTTATGCATCTCCTGCAGCTGTTGTTTCATATCTACTTCTTGAGACTCCATCGCATTTCTAGTTCTTGCAATCTCATCCTTGAGTCTTAAAGCAAGAGTATTTGAATTCTCTAGTCGCATTTCAGCTGAATCCCTCTCATCTTTCAAATCCCTTATTTGAGCTTCCAGGTCAGATCTGCTCAGTACCAACTGCATATTTTCACGTTCCAGCCATGATAAACGTGACTCAAGTTCACTTTTTACACTTTCTAGCTCCAAAGAACTCCCCTGGAGAATTTTATTAGCAGAAACATGGGAGTCCATGCTATCACTCCGCACCATTAGATCATTTTGCATATCACCCAACCAGTTCGTTGCAATACCGCTTTCTCTCGTGACAGCCTCCATCTCATCTTCTAACTGGCAATTTTCTATTTGGAGATCATACACCTTAGCTTCTAATTCACTTTTCTGTGCTCTAAGTACCCCATTCTCTTCCTCCTTGGACTGCAAATTGGCCTCAAGTCTTTGTATCTCAGTTCCTCTTTGAATCAACTCCTCACCCAGTTCTCTTACTTCAACTTCCATTTGCATTTTCAAACTTTCGAGTTCTTTAATATAATGAGCATAATCAATTTCATTCTCCCCTGGAACTTTCCTTTCCGTCTTCTCTTTTAGAAAATTCATTCGACACTCATGTTCACTCTCTTTTGAGATGGTGCAAGTAGAACATTCAGGCAAAAACTCAACAGATGCAAGATCAGTTGTTCCCTGCATGAACTTGTTCTTAGTTTCCTTGAGTTTGAATAAAAGATCAAGGTTTTCCTCCGTCAGCTCATTGCAATCCTTTTCTAACTCCTCCAGTTTGGCTTTCAAGGCTTCATTTTCTCTGACCAGGTCTGCGTCACCTCCTGTTTTAGACTCCATTTCTGCAGAACATCTTTCCTTGAGAGACTCAGATAACTTTGCTTTCAAACTGACAATTCCTCTTTCTTTAGCTGATAACTGGCTCTTGTATTCTTCCTCAATATCTGAAAGTGTCTGCTTGTTCAGTCTTGCTGCTTTCTCTATATCAGCCTCCTTTTCCTCCAAGGCCTGCTCAAGAAGTTGCACCTTAGCTTGCAAATTCTTCTCTGATTCTTGTAAATGTTTCATCTGGATCAACTTGCTGGTTTCATCTACATCCAGTTGGATAGGGTTTTCCAATTGGCTGCATTGTGACTGCAATGCAGAAAGATTCTCTATCTCCAGTTTTTGCTTTTCTATCGTCTCTTCAAGCTCCTGAAGAACAGAAACAAGCTCAATGTTTGCATCTTGACTCCTCTGCAACTGCAAAGCCAGATTAGCATTGGATTCTTTCAGAAACTTAATTTCATTTTCCAACTCCTTTTCAACATCTTTTACACCTTCATCTTGAAGTATTGAACCCTCCAAATCTGTTTGATTCAGAACTGAATTCCCCAACAACAGCGTCAGTCTTTCAACTTCCTTCCTCAGTACAGTGCATTCTGCATTTGCTGCTGACAGCTCCATATCCAAATTTTCCTTACTTTTGGACTGATCAGAGTACTCCCTTCTCAGCATGTCCAAATCAAACTTTAGCTTCTGTGCATTCCTCTCCCACATCCTTGCTTCTCCATGAAGCTCTTCTATTGTCTCTTCTGCAGCTTCAAGAAGGTTCTTGGAAGAACCTGTGATTCTCAAAGAAGAAGTGGAAAGTTCTTGCTGGTTAACCTGAGACTTGTTTTCTGCACTCATAGTCCTTGAATCAAATGATGAGTGATCAAATTCAGATGGATCATCAAGATTAATTCCACTGCGAGGTACACTGTTATCAGAGCTGGTTGAATCTTCTCTCCATATCAAGTTGTGCTTGACACTACTTAAGTTGTCTTCTTGGGAGAAATTTTCCCTCCCTATTGAACTGCCTACTGAGTCATAACTCTGAAATGAAGCTGAAGCGGAGAAACTTGCTTCCTGCTGTGAAGGAAAAACTTTTGTTAGTCCTTTTGAGGGAAAAAATGGCTAACATGTAGTAATGTCCCTGGTAATATTTGTTTTGAACATCAAAAAATTTAATTAAGCAAGTTGGTGGGGTGATCAATAACCATAAAGACGGGCGATTTCAAGTTAAAGCAAATGTCCAAGTCCAGGATTGTGGCTTAGGAAAATATGTTACGAAGGAGATGATGGGAGAAACCAGACTAATGATACCCTATAGCTTATATAGGAAATGTAGTAACTGAAATGAGAAGGAGATTCCAAGATTAGACATTACTTCTGAAACAGAAGATACGAAAGAATTTTAAACACATGAAGGATTACATTTTTCTTAGAACAAGATCATGCAAATTATGCTACAAGAATTGCAATCTGTATATTGCAAGCAAGAAAAAATGTGTGATTTTCAAAGTTACAAGAAAACATCGGATAACTTACCTTAGTCTCAAGTTCTCTTTGATGTGCCATGGAATCTAACTCTTTAGGAGAAGAAGATTCAATGCTCCTGTCTATACTCTCTGTCTCTGGCTCATCTGAGTTTATGTCCACGTCATGAGAGTCCACATTGTTACTATTCTTAATGGAATTTGTTCTGCCAGACTTATCATCGCTGAAATACTCAAAGAAAAACTCCATGAAAAGCAGAACACCAAGGTATCAAAAGAGTGGAAGTAGTGAGAAAGAACAGGTCGTATATCATACAAACCTGAGTTTTGTTCTTGGTGTCAGGCACTGAATTTTGACCTGCAAATGAGGAAGACCAGGTCTCCATTTAGCCTTAGCTTAGGCAGTTTCAATTGATTTACATAATAACTAGTGCATGCTTTCTACCCCAAAAGCAACAAGACAGCAGTTGGGCATTTTTAGCTAACTGTTAAAATGCAGAAGGTTGGCCTGGTTCCAGCTCTTAAATCCCATCCCTCCTCTTCCATCCCCAACAAAACAGAAAAAAAATAATGATAATAAAAATACAAAAATAAAAAATAAAAGAAAAAACACTAGCAACAAGGCACATGGACAAACAAAAGGATACCAGGCTATTGCTCAGTTCAATTTATTATGTTACTTGATAAGATTGCCAATGCACAAAGCAATTCACCAATTTTGATCTTAAAATCAACCTCCTTATTTTCCCTTTCTTGGATAGTTGGATTGCTAGGTAATGCGACTCAGTTACTACAACTACTAATCCCTTCCAAAGTAAATTTTAGGAAGCATGTCAAAGTAAAAATCAATAATGTTGTGGTCTTTGTTAGATTTAGAAATAGTAATTAAAGATAGCATAGGGTGTTCAGACTTCGGAACTCACTTGCAATGTTGTTCCAAGATTGCCTTTTTTCAATGGCAATGAAACCGAAACAGCAACACTTGAGCTCATATAACCTGTCATGTTGAGGGTTGCCTCTCCAAGAACACCAGATCTAGCCGATCCCTATGTTCCAACATTCATTGAGATTAATACAAACCCATTAGTCCCCTTATGGTAGCAAGAAACACAAACAACCTTATATCTAGAAATTGACTAATAAGCAACACAAGAATGTCCTCCCCATTGAGGTGATCTCCTGGAATCTTCAATTTATAAAATATAATCTTAAACTTCCATGAAACACAAAGCGGTCATCAATTCTAACCAAAGACAAAAAACCAAAGGCCTTTGCTCTTACCGCCGCAACAACAAATTTGAATAAACAATCCTCCATTTCTTTTGAAGACTCATCCTGCGAAACCCAGATAGATTCTGTCAGAGTCTCCGACCACTGACAGATCCCATTTTTCGCCAGTGATTTTCCAGTTTTTCCAATTGCCTTCCCTGTCTCCACAGAGACCACAGACAAAAACAACCTGTCCCATCCTTTAGGAACCTGCCAGAAACACCAACGGAAGCACAATTAATGTAGCAGTTTTCTTAAACCCCAAAAGATTGTTGATGAACAAGGGTTGTTCATTACCTGAAGTAGTTTGAATTGAGAGAACCTGAAATCAACCCTGTCCCCTGATTTAGAGTGTCTGTTCTTGGGCAATCTGAACATTGTTCTCTAGTTGTTTTTCTAGTTCTTGCTTTCAATATAGGCTTCAGAAATCTAAAGATTCATAAAAATCAAGACGTGGGACAGTAGGAGGGAGATACAGATCATCAGCTAGGCCGTCGTTGTAAGGAAGAGTGCTGGCTAAGGAGATACAGATGTTTCCATAGTCTCACGAGTACAAATTGTAGTCCTACTCGCTTTGTCCACTTGACACGTACTCATCTGAGTAGTAAGACTCTAACGTGTCAAAAGATGACTGGGTCGTGATTAGCGGTTGGGGATAGAATGAAGTTGGAGGGAATGAAGAGTGGAGACGACAATTACCGGCCATAACTAACATATGACAAGCCAACTCAACAAATTATTTGGTTTGGTCGCAGGGTACATAGGTAATAGTTAGGAAGTTAAAGATTTCACTTTGAACATGAGTTTAAAAGGTATCATGAGCAACAATGACATGTTGATTTGAGTAAAAAGAACTTGTTTTCTCTTAAATAAAATTTTGAGTTTGATCTTTGTGAATAGAGAAACAGGCGCTTGGAGAAGTTCGACATGACTCAATTTTAGATTAATCAAGATTCAATATGGTTATCAGATGCTGATAAGTTAATACAAAAAAAAAAGTACCGATGAACAAGGGAGAAAATTCAAGGATCCCTTGTTTGTCAAATAAAGGTTTTTTTTTTTTTTAATTTAATGTTAAGGTGAGATTCAAATTTTACATTTTAAAATTTTAATATAAGAAATTTTTAATAAAAGGATGATAATCACTAAATCGCTAAGATATTCTCGTCAAATAGAGTCTTTTAAGTTAAGAGATACCCAAGTAAAATATAAAGAAACTAATTCGGAGAATTTTTACTTAAATTTCACTTTCTAAAAAGGAAGCTGCTTAAAAGGGGAGAAAAGTTAACTCCGTGCCTCGCGTGGTTAACAACCATAACTGACATTTGACAAGGCAACCCAACAAATTCTTTGGTATGGTCGCAAGGTACAACGGTAAATGGCTAGGAAGCTATCTTTAGCTGATTTTCACGAACATGATACATCAAAGCTGCCTGCCTATAAGGAATTTTATTTGACAAGTCTCCTCCTGAACTTCTAATTTGGTGTCTGTCAATGATTTCCTTACAGTTCTTTTTGGTTTGATCCTTATCTGCTCTAAATTTTGCTTAAATTTTTGTATCATATAATGAATTGAACTACTCCTTATATTTTTATTTAATTTAATAGATATATCTTTGTTTTGTCGATAAAAAAATAGATATCACCGGTAAAACAGAAAATGTTCAGGGAATTAATTTTGGTATAGCTAATTATAGCTAGCACTTGTTTTCTTGTAATTTAAATGATTTAATAGAGTTATTAAATAATGATTTTGAATTGTTTGATCGATTGATTTGCGTGTGTGTGTATATATATATATATTAAAATGGGGAAATTGGGGAAGGGAGACAATTTGAGAGCCGAACCTTAACTGACGTGGTGGTCTAGAGTACCCACACCTTAACCAAATGTCTTATTTTGATTGAACTATGGTTTTAGATACGATTCATATGTAATTAGACTACACACTTTTAAGTTTGTCCTATGTAGAAGATAGAGTCTCTAACTTATTTTATAATTTTAACATAATCATGGATGGGAGACAATCTTTGATATTGAAGACTTACCTTAAAATTATATTATTTTAATTAATTTTTAATGAAAATGGCTATAACATCCTAATTTTTAAAAGGTGAATTAGATTATTTTATTTTTTTATAATATTTTATTGAAATAATGTAATTTTAAATTTCAGTTGCATGATTTCTTTTAGTTGGAATGTAAATTAATTTTTAGAAAAATGATTTAGATAAATTTATTTTGTAAATTTTTTTCATACAATCTTACATATCATTTAATAATTGATTTTTTTTTTTACTCTTATTAAGATTCGTAATATTATATACATTTACTTATTAATATATGAAAATTATATAAAAAAATTATCTATACATCATTATCCTATATGTGATGATTTGGAGTCTCACTATTATGTTTTTACCTCAAATATTAAACTTGCTAGTAAACTAATTAATATATCCCAAAGATATAAAAAAAAAGAAGAAGAAGAAGAAGAAGAAGAGTAGAACAAGAAGAAGAAGCTAATCTAGTAGTAAAAATAGAGAAAAGATCAACTCATGTGGCCTTCTAGTTTGAAAGAAACAAAATAAAGGGGAGAGAAGGGCAAATGATCTTATTTGAACCAATTAAATTAAATTGTTAGATCAACAAAATAATTTAATTAATTATACAATAATAATTTTTCTCTCTCTCTTCCCTCAAACTCAGACATGTTGTGGAATTGTGTCACATTTGCCAAATCCATGCCAGAATTATCATCCGCCCCAAGATGGACAACAAACAAACACTACATTTAAGACAAACCAATTAACTGTTGCGAAACTTCATTAGAAGATCAAAGGAAGACCCGAAAAAACCCTCCTATTGAATATCCAAAGGGGATAAAAGTATAAAACTACACAAGGGACCGCAGCCATACAAACGACAATGGATAACATTAATTGAAAAATCCCAGGTGTGCCAATATCCCAAAAAAGAGAATGGCGGCTAGGTTCTTTTGTGACTGCAGAGGTTTTTTCAAGTCTATAATGGTTCCTCAAAAAAAAAAAAGGCTTGTCTGTAATTGGCCTTCACAAAAATTGGCAGAGGAGAACACTATTGGAAGGCGTGGCCGCTGGATGTTATCCGTTGAAATTAAGGTAACGATCCTCTTCTCTGAACAATAAAGTATTATTTTTGAGAGTGAGTGCTCTAGGGAAGCTTAACACCCGGCATCAAGATGTCGGCTCCAATGTCACACACCGGTCACGTTAACATCTAAGTTGTTCCCAATATAGGTTAAAAAATTTTGTCCTTCTACTTTAACAAAATATCACTTTTTAGTCTCTATGTTTAAAAAAAAAAAATTATCCCTAAAATTTAAAATCTAGCCTCCTTTTAATCCTTCTGTTATCTTTTTGTATAAATGTCATGTTAAATAATGAAAATTCCAAAGCAAAGGAACAAAAAGGGCTTTTTTTAAATTGAAGGATCAACAAAGAGCTTTTTCTAAAGTTGAGGGACTAAAAAGGGACCTTTTTCAATCTCTATTTAGTTCTTCTGCTTTAGAATTTCCATCATCTAACATACTATATGTGCAAAAAGTAGTGGGTGTACTAAAAAGAAACCGAATTTTAAACTTTAAGAACAAAAAAGGAATTTTTTTTAAGTAGAAAGATTAAAAAGAAGAACTTTTTATCAAAATAAAAAGACTAAAATGAGGTTTTAACCTTTACAATACTAATCATCTAATATCTTTTTTTTTTCTTTCTTCTCCTGTTTAAATGTCAATTTCGATCCCTCAAGCTTAGGATTTTACACAATTTGTGTTCCTCAACTGTTTTATGCAGTTTTTTGATCCCTTATCTCAAAAAAATGTATTTTGTTGTGCTTCCATTAATTAATCTATTAAATCTATCAATATATATAGATTTTTAGTTATGAGCTAAAAATGTACATATATTACAAGTTTATGGACTAAAAATATATATTTGCACAAATTTAATGGATTAATTTATAAAAAAAAAAACTAAAAAAACATATTTTTAGAGTTGAAAGACTAAAAAAATACATAAAATAATTACAAGACAAATTACGTTAAACTTTAAAGTTGATAAACCAAAATTAGCACTTAACCTTTATTATTTTTTTTTTTCTGTGGCGTAGCTTTGTCTTGGTTAAAAGGGGCCCAATTAGTTAAAGACATGACATTTGAACTTTATCTTCTAAATGGGGTGGAACTATTTTGGGTTAGTCCGTCCATGAATAGCACAGCAAGGGAACCAGTAGTGCAAGGCCTTAAAAGGAGGGGGGGTCTCTTCGGCCATGCTTGGGTTGACTATGAGGCGTGTAAACGTTTTCGCTGTTCAAAGATAATTGTATTTTTAATGTAATGGATTGGAGTACAACCTTTTCTATGCTGATAATAAAAAATTAAAAGGAAGAGGTTAGAAGGAAGTAAATTCTCTCTTAAATGCTAAGTTTCCATACGTTTAAATTAAGCAGTTGTTCCACTAATAAAAAAAAAAAAGCAGTTGTTTTTAAAATGTAGTTAAGTGTGTATTTATTGTATTTTTTTATTATTAATTTTTATAAAAAAATAAAAATTAATTTTAATATTATTAACCATCTAATTAAAATATTCTACCTAATATTGATATTAAAAATAAAATTTATTTTCATAATTTGTCATATAAATTAAATAATCATTTAAATATTTAATAAATACAGGACACACACTTAACTTGTAAGTTCGCAAACCCTGATAAAAGAAGTAAAAAGTTGCAAACGTATTACAAAAGATAAAGAAAATCTCATCATCCTTCAACATTAAAAAAACACACACAATCATTCAGCTTTAAAAATGATCATAGCGATTTAATTACTTGGCAATGTCGTTGCTTTCTTTCCTCAATTTGCGGAGGATTTCAAACGTAGCCTTTTGCAAACTTCCTCTAAGATATCCTGGATCAGTATAGACATGTTTAAGTAGGACGAGCCTCCTTTCTCCACGGCCCTCTTCGCCGTTTCTGCAAGCTCGGCCGCTCTCCTCCTCCGCTCTTCCCCTTCCTCTCCTCCATCCACCACCAACTCTATTGCTTTTTCAACTTCCTGTTTCTTCACCAACACCCCGAGTTTCTCTTCTTCACCCCACCTAACAGGGACCTCCACCCCGACCCGAACCCCAATTTTCAAAACTTCAACTATAAGCTTCTCGTTTAAAAATTGTTCTGCAAAGAGCGGCCAAGTTATCATTGGGACGCCGGCGCAAACCGCCTCTATTGTCGAGTTCCAGCCGCAGTGAGTTAAAAACGCTCGTATCGCCGGGTGGGACAAGATTAGAACCTGTGGCGCCCAGCCCTTGATCAGAAGTCCCCGTCCTTTGATCCTTTCCTCGAACATGTGTTGGTCGAACCATTTCTCTAACTCATCAGCAGAGCTAGGATCTCCTGTTTTGATCACCCAGATGAACGGTTGTTCCGAAGCTTCTAGAGCCAACCCTAGTTCTATCAACTGGGACGGTACCAAACGGCACAAGCTACCGAGACAAGCATAAATGACTGACCTCGGTTTCATCGAGTTAAGCCATTCCAAGCATTTTTTGACATCGATTGAGGCTTTGTTTCCTCTTTCAAATTTATCCAAATCCTTACTGTTACATAAAGAAACTGGTCCAATACCCCATACCTTCTTTTGAATTGCCTTCTCATATTCCTCCATGCATCCATGCTCAAGCTCCTTGAAACTGTTCACGACGACTCCAAAAGCACTCATTTCAGCTTCTTTCATCTTGTCTCGAACATCATCTAGATCAGGCAATCTCACAAATGATCCTGGAAGCTGCGCCCTGGTTACCTCCACCTTGAATGGCGTTCCAGGAATCCGAAAAGGTTCTGAATCTGATGCCACTGAAAGATGAGCTTTATGAAGATTTATATTGTGAGAGCTAAACAATGAGAAACATCCCATCCCGTGGAACACAATCCTCGGAATGTTAAACTTTGTAGCAGTTTTCGCGGTCCATGAAAGGCACTTGTCTGATATTATACAGCTTGGAACCGGTTTCTGCAGTTGGAGAAGCTGTTCCAACGGTTCTTGCAGCATCGCAAGTGCAATATAGAATTTTCCCAGAAGGTGTCTGGACGACAACGTGTCCAGATTCTCGCAGCCTATGGGGAGTCCAACCTCCTTCGACGGAAATGGAAGTTGCAGTAGCTTGATTGGCAGTCCAGATTCCGTTAACCGACGAACAACTGTCTCGAACCTTGATGCATTGTGAGGGGTGGTTACCAGGCTTACCACCACGCCGCGCTCAGCTAGAAGCCTGGCCATATCTATCATTGGAATCATGTGACCTTGTGCCATGAGTGGGATTAACACAAAGTGAAGCTCAAAAGGTGAAGCCATGGCGCGGTGCGGGTACGGTTGCAGGTGCAAGTGTGGTGCAAGGTATATGTGTGAAAAGATTGGGTAAAATATTGCTGCGTACTTAACGTATCATGAGGAAGGGAGGAAGGAAGGAAGGAGTCGTGCAACGCGAGCTTGACTTTGAATGATTCCACCATAAATTAACAAAAACAATTTACTAGAGCAGATATTTTTTTTTTTCTAATTTTTTTTAAATGATTGACTTGACTTTGAAATTATATTTATAAAATGAGGGCACAATGAAATTTCGAATGGTTGCATTGATGGCGTGTCTTTGTCTAAGTTTCTCTCCAGATTTAGCTAAGTTGTCCTCCACATCTGCACATGGGGTGCCACACGCACCTTACAATACGGTGGACACGGTGGGATTAAACGCGTTGGCTCAAATTTTGGGATTGGTCCGGTTGATGTTGGGTGACAATTTTCTCCAAATTACTACTACTAGCCTAGGTCACATTGATATTTTTTAAAAAAATAATTACAATATATTCCGTTTAATAGAAACGAAAGAGTAAGGAAGAGGAGGGCAACATCCATCCATTCCGTTGCATCCTTTCATTCCCCTCCCCTCCTCTCATTTGAATAACACCTCATTCCTTCCAAATTTTTTTCAAGCAAATAAAGGAATATTTAGCCCTCTAATCCCCTCCCCTCCCATTCCCTCAAACCAAACATATTATTAGGAAGTTTTTGGATAAATTTGTATGTATTTTGAGACAAATTCTTTTTGAGCAAACTTAAAAACACACTTTGCATCAGTTTGCAAGACTTTTACTTTAAATTTGGTATACAAGACAATACTTACTAATAAATCCAACATTTGATGTTCTAGGCAAAGTGTTATTGTTAAAAGAAATGTTTTTTTACAATCCATTATGCATTTAAAAATATCAATTTAGGGTTTAAAAAGGTAAAAATATCCTTAAAAAATCAAGAATACATGAAATTTTATTAACAATATTTTGATCTTTTCTCACCTCAAAGAACACTGATATAGACATCTTCTAATTCAACACATTCTATAATACACTAATTAAGAAATTATTATTTTCAAATTAAAATTAAAAGTGAAAAAACTTAAAACTATAAATTTTAACTAAATTGATAAAAACGAATATGTTGAATTAAAGGATGTACCAATTATTTTTCACCTCAAATTGATATTTTAAGTGCAATAACCATGAGAAAACCATTCTCTATCGTTAATTACTTTGCAAGAAATTATTAAAATATTCCCACCTAAAAATTCCCACCGAAAGGTCAAAATAATTTTAGAGCTTCCTCATGAAATATTTATATGATGTGAAAAGA